CTTTTGTTGCATCTGCTACTGATGAAGCCTCTCAATGCTCAAGTCCTTGGTTTCTTGATTCAGTTGCATCTGATCACATCACTCAGGATCTTCATCACCTGCATTCTTATCAGCCATATTCTGGTTCAGAACAAGTCACCATTGGTAATGGCTCTTCTCTTCCCATTACTCATACTGGCCAAGGTATTTTACCTAGCCCTCATCATTCTTTCCGGTTAAATAAGGTCTTGCGAGTGCCTAATATTTCTTCTAATCTTCTTTCTGTTCATCAACTAGCTAAAGATAACAATTGTTCTGTTATATTTGATCAGTTTTCTTTTTCCATTCAGGACAATCATTCCAAGGCCATTCTGCATAAAGGCTATCATGCCAATGGCCTGTATCATTTTCCTGTCCTATCAACTCATGTCTCACTATCTACTTCTCCTCATGCTTTCCATAGTTCAACTGTTAATGCTACAGCATCTGCTGATACTTGGCACAAGAGATTGGGGCATCCTTCTGCTTTTAAATTTCACTTACTGCAGAAGCACTTGTTCTTAAATAATAATAAAAATAAAACTCCCATCTCTTGTATTGATTGTGCTATGTCTAAATCTCATAGACTACCATTTAAACTGTCCAATTCTACTGTGAATCAACCCATTGCTTTAATTCACACTGATGTTTGGGGACCATTTTCTTGTGCTACCTCTGATTACAAATATTATGTTGTGTTTGTTGATGATTTTAGTCGCTTTACTTGGCTTTATCCTTTAGCTTACAAGAGTGAGGTGTTTGTCAAATTTACTGAGTTTAAAATGTTTGTTGAAAGACAATTTGGCTATCCTCTTAAAATTTTGAGATCTAATGGAGGTGGTGAATTTCAAAATCATTCTATGCATAACTTCATGACTACACATGGTATTCTTCATCAGTCTTCTTGTCCTCATACACCCGTACAAAATGGTGTAGCAGAACGTAAGCATCTCCATATTACTGAAACTGCCATTGCTTTATTACATCAATCTGCCTTACCACTTACTTACTGGTTTGATGTTGTAGCTACTGCTACTTTTCTGATTAATAGGCTACCTAGTGTGACTCTTTCTAATTCATCTCCTTTTGAAAAATTGTTTCAAAAGCCACCTGATTATTCCTTGCTTAAAGTTTTTGGTTGTTTGTGTTTTCCATGGTTTCAGCCTTATTCAGCTCATAAATTGTCTCCTAAATCTACTCCTCATGTTTTTCTTGGATATCATCCTGCATTTAAAGGTTATAGGTGTTTGAATCCTCTCACTGGTCATATCCTTCTTTCTAGGCATGTTCGATTTGAAGAACATATTTTTCCTTTTGCCTCTTCTACATCTGTGTCTGTCTCTTCTTCTTTACGTGTCCTGCAGAATTTCTTTTGGACTGCTACTTCTCTTCCTCATTCTCCCTTGCAGCCCAGTTCCTCTACTTCAGCTCAATCTGGTTCTGTTCAACCTGCTCCTGCTGCTGCTGCAGCTTCTCCTACTGCTGTTGCAGTCCAGCCTCTAGCACATACAACTCCAGTTCTATCTGCACCAGCACTGTCTTCTCCTGTTCTGCCTCCCTCTGCTTCAGCTCCATCTGGTTCTGTTTACCCTGCTCCTGCTGCTGCTGCAGCTTCTCCTGCTGCTGTTGCAGTCCAGCCTACTACTGCGGCTTCTCCTGCTGCTGTTGCCGTCCAGTCTATACCACTTGTTCCTTCTACACCTATTACTTCTATTTCTATACCTCTTCCTCTTCTTTCTCCTACCCTCAATACTCATTCTATGCAAACCAGATCTAAAACTAAGCATCCAATTTTCACTGTTCAGCTCACTGATGGGTCCACTGAGCCTCTTTCTACTTCATCTGCTATTGCTTCTCCCATCTGGTTTCAGGCTATGATGGAGGAATATTCTTCCCTTCAACAACAGGGCACTTGGTCTTTGGTCTCCCTTCCTCCTTCTAAACAAGCTATTGGATGCAAATGGGTTTTTAAGATCAAGAAAAATTCAGATGGTACTGTGGCTCGTCACAAAGCTCGTCTTGTGGCTAAAGGTTTTCTTCAACAATATGGAGTTGATTTTGAGGACACCTTCAGTCCTGTTGCTAAGCAACCTACAACTCGCATTTTCCTTTGCTTGGTCTTGCATCATCATTGGCCCATTAAACAATTGGACATCTCCAATGCATTCTTACATGGCAAGCTTGAAGAAGAAGTTTATATGGAACAACCCCCCAGCTTTGTTGATCCTTCTTCTCCTTCTTTGGTCTGTAAGCTTCATAAAGCCCTCTATGGCTTGAAACAAGCTCCTCGAGCTTGGTATTCCACTTTTTCCTCCTTCCTTCTTTCTCAAGGTTTTACAAATAGTAAGTGTGATACCTCTTTGTTTATTCACAAAACCTCTTCCTCTCTTACCTTCCTTTTGATATATGTTGATGATATCCTTCTAACTGGAACTAATGCTACCTACATCCAAACTCTTTTATCTCATATGCATCTTGCCTTTTCCATGAAGGAATTAGGTGACCTCTCTTATTTTCTTGGCATTTCTGTTCAGTCTCACCATAATGGTTTCTTTCTTCATCAACACAAATATGCTTCTGATTTGCTTCTTAAAGCTGGCATGATTGGGTGTAAACCGTGCTCTACACCTGTTTCTTCCAAGCCTTCCTTTACTGCTTCCGATTCTTTGCCTTATCCTAACCCATCTTTGTATCGCAGTATTGTGGGTGGCCTTCAGTATCTTACTATTACTCGACCTGAGTTGTCCTATGCAGTCAATCAAGCTTGTCAGTTCATGCATTCTCCTACAGTTGGGAATTTTTCTGCTGTCAAAAGAATTATGCGCTATATTAAAGGTTCTTTATCTCATGGCCTTCTTTTCACTCCTAGCTCTTTTCAGCTTCATGCCTACACTGATTCCAATTGGGCTGGTGATCATATTGACAGACGCTCCACCTCCGGCTATTGTATTTTTCTGGGTGATAATCTCATATCTTGGTCTTCTAAGAAACAGCCCACGGTTTCCCGATCATCGACTGAAGCCGAATATCGTTCGCTAGCTAATACCACTGCCGAACTCACTTGGCTTCAAATGTTACTTCAAAATTTTTCCATTCCTCAATCTTCTATTCCGGTTGTCTGGTGTGATAGTCAATCTGCTCTTGCTTTGGCTGCCAATCCTGTGTTTCATACCAGGTCTAAGCATATCGAAGTAGACTGCCACTTTGTTCGCGACAAGGTTCAAGCTCATCAATTACGTCTGCGTCATGTTCCTACTGCTTCCCAGCTTGCTGATATTTTCACTAAACCATTGTCGACTTCTCGGTTTTCTTTTCTCACTTCCAAACTCAGAGTTGCTTCTGCTCCCTTGAGTTTGAGGGGGCCTGCTAAAGATATATCATCAGCATCAGTTGATGTATAGTTGCTGCTGTATGTTAGTTACACTATTAGTTGTATCACAGAGTCTGTTACAGAGTTTGTTGAGAAGTGGTTAGTTTGTTAGTATATGGTTAGTGTGTGTTAGTAGTTAGTTAGTGCTGGGTATCTTGTATATATACATACTGATGTAATATGATGAGTAATTAATAAAAATATGTATAGTTGATCAAACTTCTTCAGGTCTAAGCTCTTGTAATTTGATAGGTCCAATCCCTCAAGGTTATTGGAACCTAACTTCTCTCGAGACGCTTGATGTTTCTTATAATCAGAATCTCAACTCTTCTTTACCAAATTCGTTGTTTAGTGCCACAAATAGCCTCGTCTATCTTAGCCTTGCACAGTGTGGATTTCAAGGTCCATTTCCTACAATTGTCCCCAACATGACCAATCTGTCTCATCTTGATCTATCTTACAATTCTCTCAATTCTACTATACCCAATTGGTTGTATAGCTTTAGTCGTCTTGAGTTCCTCGACTTGGGCTCCAACAGGTTAGAAGGTGGAATATCGAATGAGATTGGGAACTTGACTTCTGCCATCTTCCTCAGCCTTTCACGAAACAACATTGAAGGAAGGCTACCGAATTCCATCGGAAACCTGGCTTCTCTACTCAGCCTTGACCTATCATATAATGGACTTGAGGGAAGGCTACCGAACTCCATCGGAAACCTAGCTTCTCTAGAAAGTCTCGAGCTATCATATAATGGACTTGAGGAAAGTCTACCAAGATCGTTAGGAAATCTTTGCAACTTGAGAAATATTGGTTTGTCACATAACAAATTTAGCGGAGAATTATTCACTAGCTCGTCTAAATGCATTGCAATACATGCTTTGGAGGATATGTTCGTGGATGGGAACAAACTTTCCGGTCCCATTCCAGAAACTCTAGGAAGATTGACTTCCTTAAATACATTGTCATTGGAGGATAATCAGTTAAATGGAACTCTTCCTCAAAGTCTTGGACACCTTTCAAAGCTATCAGAACTTGATGTGTCTAATAATTTGTTGGAAGGCACTGTATCAGAAGTTCACTTCACCAATCTTGCAAATCTGTGGAAATTTCATGCTTCCGGCAATCGGTTGACTTTAAAAGTGAGTCCTGACTGGATTCCTCCCTTTCAACTTTTAGAAATAGAACTTAGATCATGGCATTTGGGTCCAAAGTTTCCCATATGGCTCCAATCACAAAAACAACTTGACATCATTGACTTGTCATGCACTGGAATATCAGATAGGATTCCAACTTGGTTTTGGAACTTATCTTCCTCGACCACCCATCTAAATCTCTCCCACAACCAACTCTACGGTGAGATTTCATATATTCCTTACGATCTGCAAGTGTTTTCTTAAGCTCCAATAATTTGAATGGTACACTACCTCGTCTTTCTTCAAATTTGATTCAGCTTGATCTTTCCAAAAAATTATTTTCTGGGGAGATCTCCCACTTGCTATGTAATGGGAATAAAGAAGAAAATCTTCTATTAATTCTTGTTCTAAAAGAAAACTTTTTATCCGGAGAAATTCCTGATTGTTGGATGGCTTGGACATCAATGAGAGTCATAGATATGGGAAACAACAATCTGACAGGGAACATCCCAAGCTCCATGCAGTATTTAGGTGGTCTGAAATCGTTACACCTGCAAAACAACCATCTCTCTGGAGAAATTTCTTCCTCTCTTCAAAACTGCAACAATTTAGTAATGGTTGATCTCAGTGAGAATGAGTTTATTGGAAGCATACCGACATGGATGGGAGAAAGGCTTTTGCATTTGATCGTTCTCATCCTCCGGTCAAATAAGTTAGATGGCATGATACCTCTAGAACTTTGTCGTATCTCCTCACTTAAAATCTTGGATCTTTCGAACAACAATTTGTCAGGTGCAATGCCATGGTGCATCAACAATATCACTGCCATGGCAATGAAGCCAAACTCCAGTGATTTTACCTATGGAGGAGGAGGAGGAGGAGGTCGTAGATGTCATATCTATGATAAATGTCGGCGCACTATGGAATCAACAACATCTATTTACTTGGAGAATGCAAATTTGGTGACAAAAGGAAGTAACTATCAATATGACAAGATTCTTACTCTTGTGGTTAGTGTAGACCTTTCAAACAACAATTTATCTGGCAACATCCCTGAGGAATTGACTGGTCTACTAGGACTCTTTTCATTGAATCTATCTGGAAATCATTTGATTGGTGTGATTCCAAAGAAGATGGGTGATATGGTGTCTTTGGAATCTCTTGATTTATCCAAAAACCAAATTTGTGGTGAAATTCCTCCAAGCATGTCAGGTTTGACTTTTTTGAGTTACTTGAATTTGTCTTATAATAACTTGTCAGGTAAAATTCCATTGAGCACCCAACTTCAAAGCTTCAATGCTTCTAGCTTTCTCGGCAACAAGCTTTGTGGACTTCCACTTACAAAGAATTGTAGTGTTGATGGTGAAAAAACTAATGTGGGAAATGAAGGAGATAGTGAAGGTGTTGGATCTAAACTGGATTGGTTTTATTTGTCTATGGCTTTTGGATTTGCGGTAGGTTTTTGGGGCGTCTCTATTCCTATACTGTTCATTAAGTCATGGAGATATGCCTATTTTCGATTTTTAGATAATGTCTGGACAAGACTCTATGTTTATGTTCAGGTAAATATGGTAAGATTTTAAAAGTCATGTGATAGTCTGCTACCTGTGTCCCCATAATACTATAAATAATTGTATCCTTTGCGTTGTTATGTTAAAGTTCTCATGATTATATAATATAAGCTTACTTACTGCAATAATGCTAGGTATCATGAAAATAATGTCATGAAAAGTCTTCATGAAGATTCTCCACCATTGATTAGATTATAGTGTTTGTAGTGTTTTATTATATGTTATGTATTCATCATTAGATTAGTTTCATGAAATTTTTCATGATATTTACTTCATGATATGTAGCATTACTCTACTTACTGTGCCAAAGGTTCTTGTCAATATGCTTCAATATTTCCTCTTTTTTAGCCAACCTCCTTTAAATTACTAACAAATAGTTCTGATTTCCCTTAGTAAGTAAATTACAGCCTTAATGCTTCATAACATGGCAAGTATAGCATGTCAAATATGTATATATGCATAGGAAGAAATTTAATGAAATGCATGGGATTCATAAACTTGATTTCTAGTACAGAAAGAGATGGTAAAATTCACCTGAGAATTAGATCCATAACTTGGGTTGGGGTTGAGTTTCATTTAAATTTCTTTATTGATATATATATATATATTAGAAAAATTTACGTATAGGTCTTAATAGGTGGCCTTATTGTTTAATAGCAGGACTCCATTCGAGCTCATCATTAGCCTTCTAGTTGTTTATATTGGTCGTACTACATTTTGTGAATAGTGTCAATAATAAATGTTAAAAATCTATCAATTATATTGGTCATTAGTTAATTGTTTTTATTCATAGTGTGACTGAGTTTGAAATGCACCGATACACAATCTCATTTTAGTTTTGGTTATTTCTCCTCTATGGTCGTGTTATCGAGGAGTTATGAAATATGACCTTTTCTTGGATTGTTAGGCTCATTAATTTTTGTCTGGCACCTAACTGCGGTCTCAATTCCTATAAACAGATAGTGTTGACTGACTTTCATTATGTTTATCTTGTTATTTTTGTATCTAATCTTTCACTACAACAATGATGTGGGTCTTGAATTTGATACGAAATTTTTTTTTGTTGTCATTCAGAATAATGATTGCTAATTTCATTACTAATAGTATAATTTTTATTAGATGAGATATATACTAAATGTGATTTTTTCCGTTCGAGCTTCCAGTGTGTCATATGAATCCATGATTTAAGTTTTCTATAAATGACACCAATAGTGGTTCGACAAAATCAGATTATTAGGTCACAAAATGAAGATATGAGTATTCAGATGAGTCGAAAATATTTCTGGATTAGATACACAAATAACTAATAAACAAGATTAATTAGTTCGCCATATATTAGCAACGATGTTACTCTAATTTTGTTCTACCTTGTTCAGTTCAATAAAAATGTTGAAACTCAATGACCAGAATAATATTTATCGAAATTAGGACTTAATGTTGTGAAGCGTAACATAAAATATTGAATACAGATAACTCAAAATGTTGATCATTGATGAAGGAGATAATTCAATTAGTGCATTGTTTAAGTGAAATTATCGAGAAAGGTTGACCGAATCATTTTCTC